CTACCCCGGGACTCCAGGATCATGCCCTGAGCTGGAAGGCAGATGCTTAACTGCTGAGCCACCCAGGTGTCCCAAATCTAAATTTTAAACAAGAGGTTGATTAAATTTGGGAATGCCTATGCAATAACCTGCCCAGGCTGCTCCTGAAAAAGTATGTGTGCATGTACATATATGCATGTGTATAAATTTGCATGTGTATTTGCACATGTCTATCAATTGAATGAAATAAACATGGGCCAGATTGCACTCAATGGTAGGAAAATAGGCATGAACAAGACAGTTGGCACCTGCCACCATGCAGCTTACAATGTATTTAGGAAGGCAGATGTTAAACACAATGATGACGGTGTGTTGGGAGCTTCCGAGGAGAAGTACTGAGTACCTGGAAGACCAACTGTGAGGTTAGGGAAGGCCTCCATGGGGAAGCTGATGTTTCACCTGGGACTTGAAGGTTAACTATGAGTTCCTTAGGCAGAGGGTGTGAGGAGAAAGGAGCTGGCCATTCTGGCTAGAAAGAAGGTCATAGATAGAGTCTTGGAGCTCAGATGTAGGGAGGAATGCTCAAGAAGAGAAAAGAAGCTCACTATTGCTGGGTTGCGGGTAGAGGATGGTGTTAGATGAGGCTGGTCAGCCAGAAGAGGACAGATCATGGAAGGCCTGTACAATGAATTAAGAATATCAGATGTTGAGGCAGTGGGAAGTCAATAAAGTGTTTTAAACAGAGAAGTGACATGAATCTGAATGGGGTAAGGGTGGAGTTGAGGGACCAGGCAAGAAGTGAAGGTCACCTGAGGCCAAGTGGTTGTGGTGGTGAGGATGGAGAGGGGGCCACAGAGCGGTGAAGAGTGGATGCCAGGAGTGACTGGGCTTAGTGACTGAGTGGAGGAGGGCATGGGTGAGGGCAAGGAGGGTGGTCAGGGAAAGGGAGGGGTAGGTGACCCTCAGGTTTCTACTGGCAAGTGACAGTGCCATTTGCTGAAACAGGAAGCAATGGGAGCAGAGCAGGGATTTGGGGGAGTGAGATGGGGCAGACAAATTCTGTCTTGAGTTTGGTGTATCTGTGGGATACCTGACTAGGGATGTCTGGTGGGCAGGTGACTTTGAGGCTGGGCTCCCCGGGGAGATGAACATGGAGTTCTGGGAGTCATTGGCAGGTCTTAGGGCTTTGAACTCTGGTTGTGGGTGAGGTTGTTGAGAAGTGTATAGACTACAAAGAGAGCTTTATTAGGGCTCTAGTATAAATCCCAAGGATGGAATAGGAAACTAAGGCAGGAATATGACCAGCCTCAGGGAAGGCTGGGACCAGAAAAGAGTCTCTTCTCTTGCCTTCCTGCCACGTGGACACTTCCTCTCTCTGTGGACCAAGTTTTCTCTGGCTCTCTGGCCTATGGCAGAAGAAAGGTGCCATCCCACAGCTCCCAAGTTGACATAGACCAGAGTGTTCTAGCCCCAAATCTGGATTTCTGGAGTAGACTCTGATTGTACCAGTTTGGGTCAGGCATCTATCCAAGCCCTCATTAAATTTATTTGTCTCACAGCAACTGAAGTATACACTTTGGATAGGTGGCAGTTAAGAGAGTCCATTTTGTACTGGTTAGATATTCCAAGGGTGGAGAGGACCCAGGAGGGGCACCTACATTTAAGGGGTCACAAGAATAGGAGGTGGCAAAAACAAGTAAGAAAGAATAGCTAGAGAGTTAGAAAGAAGGCTATGAAAGGTTCCTGGACCCAATTCCAATGTGGGGGCGGGGTCTCCACACAGCACCAGCAATTCTTAGATACTGGCAGGTGTCCAAGAATTCAAGTTATTTCTAACACTATCTACCTGGAGATAGCAACCATTTTCCCTGAATCTCTGGGTGTTTACCAATCCAGAAGCTCCTCAGACTCTAAAGGTTTTATGGAGGCTTCATTACATAGGCTTGATTGATTAAATCATTGGCCATTGGCAGTAGATTCAATCTCCATCCCTTCCATCGCTCCAGGAGGTCAGGGGGCGGGGCTGAAAGTTTCAATCTTCTAATCACAGAGGTTTGTTCTCCAGACAACAAGGCACCCTCCTTAGATGTGTCCAAAAGTCATTCTTCAGCATGACAAAGACACTTTATCACTCTCAACACTAAAGGAAGTCTGAGGGTTTTTGGAAGCATGAGCCAGGAACTGTGGGTGAAAAGTAAATATATATGAGAAATGCATTTTGGTCATCTGAATGCACAAATCAATATTTCTAATAAATCATAATATTGCAGGCTAGAAAAGAAGGAGGTAGACAGATGCTCAGGAGAGATCCATATCAAGATGAGACAGTAGCCAAGGGACCCAGCATTGCCCAGAGGTAGGGTAAGGAGGACTGGACAATGTGCTCCTGAGATAGTAGATGGGATCATATTTAGCAGCCTGCAGTGGGGACAGGAGAAGAAAGATAGCTAGTGTAAATACGTATTCTAGACTCCAGGATATATGAAGATGAGAATTGGCAATGGCTAGAGGGAGGTCTTGTGATCCAGAAAGTATTTTTTCTTATTTCTTTAAGCGAGAGTTCAACCTGTTATTAATAGCTAGTGAAGCCAGTGGGGAAGGAGTTGTTCTTTTCAAGCCACAGCACAGAGCCCAAAGGGCCATGAAGAGGGTGCTAGGCTGCATGGGGGCTGGAGGATCACAGCTCACAGGAAAGATAGCCTCTGGTCAGGGAGAAATTAGCAGGACAGAGCTCTGGTTTTATACATAGAAAATGTGGTCCTTCTGGGGCCAAACGAAGGTGTTTCCAAAGCTTCAATGGTGAAGACTAAAGATTTTAATAAAGAGACTTTTTCTGAAGATTCTTAAGAACACATACTTTAGAGCAATGGTTCCCAAACCAGCATGCCTCAGAATCACCTAGAGGCCTGATTCTGAGGCCCAGAGTTTCTGATTTTGTAGGTCTGGCCAGATTGGGGTGGAAGGCAAGTGTTTGTACTCCTAACAAGATCCCAGGGGATGCTTATGATGCTGGTCCACTTTGAGAATCTGTTCTGGGGCCTGGTTCCCAGAATCTGTATGTGGTCTGGAAATCTGAAAATAAGGCCAATTTATTGAACATATGAGCAAGTCAGATGGAAATGTAATTAGATGCAAGAAAAAAAGTTATTTGAAAGACTGTAAGGTGAGAAGATAAGGAAAAATCATTAAAATAAATTTACCATTTTTTTTTGAGAGAGAGACACTGCATGTGAGCAGGGGAGAGGCAGAGGGAGAGAGAGGGGGAGAATCTTAAGCAGACTCTGTGCTCAGTGCAGAGCCTGACCTGGGGCTTGATCTTACAACCCTGAGATCATGACCTGAGCAGAAATCAAGAATTGGATGCTTAATTGACTGAGCCACCCAGGTGCTCCAGGAATTTACCATCTTTAAAGAACAGTAAAATTTGATTTACAGTGAAATTGTTAGGATATTACTAGCAAAGGGCCACTTGGCCCCATATTCTGTGACAGCATTGAGAAGGATGCTGGCTTAGCATTGGGAGATGTGGGTCCATCCTAGCTTTATCACTCACTGGTTTCAAAATGTGTGAGTACCTCTCCTGACCTCCATCCCTTCACTTTTAATGAGGGTTAGGGAGACTCTCCATTGTTTTACAAAAAGCATGATGATGTGAAAGTACTTTGAAACATATAAAGCCCCATATAAATAAAAATTACTATTTTACCCTGAAAAAGTTATTCTTCAGGGGAGTTAATTAGCATAATTGACATTTTTAATGTGTGTCTGATATACAGCTCAATATTGTTGTTCTGATTCCTATTTACATAAGCACCAGTATGTCTTCATAATTTTTTAAAAAGATTTTATTTATTTATTCATGAGAGAGAGACAGAGAGAGAGAGAGAGGCAGAGACACAGGCAGAGGGAGAAGCAGGCTCCATGCAGGGAGCCTGATGTGGGACTTGATCCTGGGACTCCAGGATCACACCCTGGGCCAAAGGCAGGCACTAAACTGCTGAGCCACCCAGGGATCCCCCTGTCTTCATAATTTTAAAGGTATTTTGTTCACCTCCACCACTTTGCAATTCTCTGGAATTTTCTGCTCAACAGGAAATCACTATGTAGTATTTCTGGACTGGCCTTTTAGACAAAATCCACTGGTATCTAGAGAGAACAGGGCATCTAATTAAACAGCTGAGGTAGCTGTACTAGAAAACAGAGAGTGGGGAATCGAATAGCTCAGAAGCAGTGAGGCCAACAGTTTGTATTTAACCCTTGAGGACCAAGCACCACATTCCTTGGGTATAACAGACTATGGGAAAGTGAGTTTGGAGCCTCACCTTGTCACATTTGTCATAGCTATTCACCATGGTCTGTGGAACTGAATCCATCTAGGTCTTCTGATTTGAAGAGTTGAGTGAAGACTGCCCATTTGCCTCTCCTTCAAAACTCCTTTCACATCTGCCATCCACAGTGATGTTAGGGTGGAGGTAGGGGGGCAGGCAAGGACAAGACCTTCCAGGTGCAGCATATGGAACAGGGAAGAGCCCTGAGCCAGGCTGCCTGGGCTTGACTCCAGCTCTGAGGCTTTCTGGTATCAGGTGAGTTATCCAAACATTCAGGCTCTGAGAGTTGCATCTACACAACGGAGATGATAAAGGTATTTCCTTCAGAATGTTGTTGAATATGTATAATGAGATAGGGCACACGATCAGAGTTTCATGGCCTTGGTTGTTGTAACAGTCAAGGAGCATGGCTTATAATTATTAAGGGGGGCTGTGGTTTAGCATCTTGGGGTGCTTTGTGCAGGATGCAGATGAATATGTTCAGAAAATAGGGAGAAGTGCTAGAATGGCCTTTGTTAATGGCTCAGCAGGAACCATTTGTTACCATGGTAATGCATCTCCTCCAGATGCATTTGCCTCAGCTTAAAATTCTGAGAACTGCACTTCCTTCAGTGGAGATCTGAAGCCCAGGCCTCTGGCAAATGGTTCTTTCCAGAGACAGTAACACCCTATGTGTCTCTTTTTTCTCTACAGACCTCAGAGGACGAACCTTCTGAAAAGGATGCTTTGCAGCCAGGCCGAAATATTGTGGCTGCAGGCTATGCCCTCTATGGTAGTGCAACCCTGGTGGCTCTTTCCACTGGGCAAGGAGTGGACCTCTTCATGCTTGACCCAGTAAGTACCCAATATGGCAGTATCAGTACTTAGGACTCCATCTGCCTCTGTGCTTTAATTCCAATCCACTGGGGTAATTTTTTGTCATTCTTAATACTTGCTTTAGGGACAAGAGTGTCTAGTTAGGGAATCAACACCAACATTAGAAATCATTAATGATCCCTGTCCAGTGGAGGGCATTTGAAGTGTTCTATAGGTTTGTCATAGCAACCCAGGCTCTGTCCTTAAGGAGTTTCTAATCCAAAAATGCATTCCACCTTTTTGACTTATGGGAATACAATAATTTAAAAAATCCTAATGTTGCCAATGTGTAGACAGAAACATGGATTTTTTAGAGTAGCACCATCCAATAAAACTTTCTGTGACCATGGATGTGTTCTAAATCTGGGCTGTCCAATATGGTAGCCACTAGCCTCCTGTGGCTATTGAACATTTGCAATGTGGTTAGAGTGACTAAGAAACTCAGATTAATTTAAATTGCCACACGTGGCTAGTAGCTACTCTATTGGACAGCACAGGTTTGTGGGATTCCTGATCATGTACGTGTTCTTCCCAATTAAGTAAGAGATATTATCATATTAATGGTAAAGCTCAGAACATAGGCTGGGAATGGGCAGGTCTTGGGGACCAGGATACAGGAGTTCCAGGAATGGATGGGCTTGCAGCATGGCCAGTCTGGTCTGGACACTATCCCTGATTTTGTGTTTCTTACTCAGGTTTTAGTTGCCAGGGAAGAGTATCTAATTTGCCAAGCTAAGTCAAATGCCTGATTTTGGACCAGAGGAGGATCAGCTTAGTCTTCCTGGACTGGCATCCAATGAGAGGAGTTAACTCTTCAAAGGGAGTTAGGCTGCTTTTAGGAAGGGTTACTCCACACTGGGCTGCTCCAAAGCATCAAATGTCCACAGCAAGTTATTAAAGCTCATGAGCCAGAGACTGTCAGGAACTTGTCTATAATAGAAAGAAGTTGGGTTTACTGAATAAGGATGGATGTGCTGTTCTCTAGAAGAATGGTAGACTGTCATGCTAGGAGGGAGTTGGGATGGACTTTATAGCAAGTCGGCTTTTGCTTGATGGTCTCAAGAGGATTTAAGAAAGAGAGGGTCAGTTCTGGCTTGGGAGGAGGTACAATTAATGATTGTGTATCAGTAATTTTTATCTAGGAGGTGGGAAGATTAAAGTGAAGGTAGCGATTCATTGGTAAAGAAGAAGTCACCACTCACGTACAGCAGAAGAGAGATGTTTAGTTACTTTAGTGGTTGCTGAGTGTTCTCATCACTGTCTTGATTCAGACATGGTCAGCATGGTCCTGCCTCTTTATACTTTGGGAATGTAAATTCCTATGCTTATTAGAAACCTTCCAGTCTAGCTGACAGCTGTGAGCTGTCACCCTGGGGATTTCACTTTCTTAGTCTTCGAAGTTCATTAAAACTTATTATATTTCCAAGCCTAGATTTCCTCCTAGTGACTTAGAGAGACATCCAGCCTTTCAAGGTGTTACCTGCAGTCAGCTAATCACATCCATAAGCTCTCAGATAAATAGGTACCTGAGGGATGTCCTGCAGAGTTACCATAGCTGGCACACTGGGCACCATTTTATTAGTAATTCTGTAGATTTCTTTCATGTCTATCCTTTTTATTCCTTATGCCAAGTGAATACAGTTTCTGATTGAAGGGATTTCCTCATTACCCTGTATAAGAATCACGGGGAACATTTCCTGGCTCCTAAGACCGAGTCATTACAATAAATGGACCACACATTAGTAGGGGAACTGCATCCCCCACCTTTATGACACATCCCAGTCATGAAACTTCTTCTTCTTATTGTTGATGGCATAAATCTTCTGGCCAAAATTAGGAATTAACTAGGGATGAGAACTTGAGGCATTAAGACTTCAAGTTTCCCCATAAATAAGTAACCTGGCAGGCAGTAAAATTTACCAAGGGAGCTTTCCCTCTTTCCTTTGAATTATTTCATCTCTTGCTAGAGTACTACTGGCACTGCAGAAGGATGTGGCACAGCTGGGCTCCTCAAGCAGGCCCACTTCTTCTGATGCTCTCTGATTATTGGGGAGTGTGCTGTTAGCTTTCGTTTCCTGGTATCTCTCTCCTTCCAGGTGTTTCTTTTCATCTTTCTAGGCACTTGGTGAATTTGTCCTAGTGGAAAAAGATGTCAAGATAAAACAGAAAGGAAAGATATACAGTCTCAATGAGGGTTATGCCAAGTATTTTGATGCTGCCACCTCAGAATACGTGCAGAAAAAGAAATTTCCTGAGGTGAGTGAAGGAAGCCTAAGGCAGTAGCCGGGAGAATGCTGCCTCAGTGGGTCTCTGTTGGGGTGGCAGCTTTGGGGGCCTGGCTGAAAGAGGTGGATGCTGCTGTTTATGGCTCTGGTAAGTATGAGAATGGTGGAATCTACCTTTCTTCATAAATCAGCCACATTTTTCACAGCTAAAGACCTACTCAAGATAATACTCCCTAGTTGAGTTTTTCCAGATGTTATTTATAAAGAAAACAAATTTCCAAATTTCAGGGTTTATTTAGGCCAGAACCTCTAGGGTCATTTGCTTGCTGAACTACCACCTATTAGATTCTGATCCCTCACTTATATTTGCTTTTAGGTGAAGTACTTATATTTGAAAATCCCATTCATATACCCTAATATCAGGGCCTTGTGTTTACCCCAAGCTTTAGGGTATTCTTTGTCTCTCAACAGGATTACCAAGTCCTGGACTGCATGTGGCTACTAATGCAGCCCAAACAATCCATTCAGTATGTTCACCATACTAAGAGAGATTTTAAGACAGATATGGGAGCAGAGTCAAAGAATTTCCAGATCAAGTGTGTCAAGTCTAATCTAAATTAGAAGATGAATGCAAGCTTGTTTATAAGTGGGACCTTCTCTCACTAAATTCTGGGGAATGTCAAAAGAGGGGCCCTTTATCCTGTGATGGAAAGGCAGTGGTATGGTTGCCAGCTTGGCTGTCCCTGGAAGTCCTCATGAACTCCAAGGGAAAAGAGTTGGTGATTCCATGGTCCCAGGTGGCAGTCAGTTAACAGGATGCTGAGACCTGCCTTTTTTTACCTCACACTGAAGCTATAGAGAGTTTTCTACTTTCTTTAATTTATTTTTATTTTATTTTTTTTTAAAGATTTTTATTTATTCATGAGACACACACACACACACACAGAGAGAGAGAGAGAGAGAGAGAGAGAGAGAGGCAGAGACACAGGCGAGGAAGAAGCAGGCTCCATGCAGGGAGCCTGACATGGGACTTGATCCTGGGTCTCCAGGATCACACCCTGGACTGAAGGCGGCACTCAACCACTGAGCCACCTGGACTGCCCTTTTCATTTATTTTTAAATTGAAGTTCTCAAAAGTCAGTTTCCTGTACCTCTCTTTTATAGGGTCATACTTTGCCATCATGCACAAACCCATCCAATGTCTTGAGGGCAAAGTAACAGGATGTGAATGATGAAGTCAAAATTGTTTACAGGTTCCTGGTCTTGGAGATGTTTTATAGTGGTTCCCATTCTAAGCTAAAGTGCCTCCTCTAGAGCCCATAAAAAAGATATTTATGTTACCACTAAAAAAATAACAGTTCTATACAAAGAATACCATAAATGTCTTTGAAGGAGAGGTTTCAAATGGGAAATAAGGCATCAATCAGCTCATGAATGACCAACAGCAGGTTGGTCTGCCTTTAAATCTTGCCACAGGATGAGCTCCCAAATGGAAAACCACATAAAAGGGTAATTATAAAGTCAGGGAAAAAATAGGAATCCTTTGACCTCTCAGTAAAACTGAAACTCTTAGAAGATATTAAGATCTTTCCCAATTCCATTTTAACTTTTTCTCCTCTCAAATAATACTCTGTGCTCTTAAAAAAAAAATGTTTCTCTTGTATCCTTTCTCACAGTCCAGCTTAGATAGTGTTACTATTGCTAGAAGAAAGATACTCAGGTTCTAAGGTAAACTACACCTTGTAATTTTACAGAATGGAATAAATGCCTTAAGAAGATCTATACAGTTTCCCCAGAGACAGCTCAGGAGTAAGAAAGGTCAATTAGACCAGTGGCTCTGAAGAATTTTTGACTGTGAACATTAATAACAAATGCATTTTACATCTAATTCAGAGCACATGTGTGCCAGTGTGCATGTACACACTCACACAGGCCCCACTGAAATAAATTGCCTTAATCTCGATGTGTTTTAACATACTTTTACCTTTTCGCTTTTCTATTCAATTCAATTCTGTTCTGTTCATTTTTTTTTTAAAAAAAGATTATATTGATTTATTTGAGAGAGAGACAGTAAAGCTAAATTTCAACATATCAGTTTTATAAAGCAGTTTAGGTTATGGTGATTTAGCAGAACACAGGAAAACAGGAAAATGTCACACTTATACCAAATTAAGGATGTTGAGTTATGTTACTAATGTATGCAACTTTAATTTTGTTTAACACTATCTGCCAAAATAAACTTTATTCCCTATAACTTAAAATATGTATATATATATAATAGTTTATTATGTACAGTTAATTCCACTGTTTTGGCTGCAATAAAATCGATTTTGAAATTAAAAAAATAGAGAGGAGAGAGCAGAGGAGAGAAAAATAGAGAAATAGAGAGAGGAGAGAGCACAAGCAGAGGGAGTGGTAGACGGAGAGGGACAAGCGGGCTTCCCCTTGAGCAGAAAGCCTGATGGGGGGCTGCATCCCAGGGCCCTGGGATCATGATCTGAACTGAAGGCAGACGCTTAACTGATTGGGCCATCCAGGCTCCCCTATTCTGATCTGTTCTGACCTGATCTGTTCCATTCTGTTGTGTTCCATTCCATTTGTTTAAATTGCATCTCGTTTGAAAAAAAAAAGCATGTTAGTAATCTCTCATTAAATGGGTTTATCACCCTTTAATGGATTTCCATGCACACTTGAAAAAGTACTGTGCTGGGCAGTTTCTTAGACATTTCTTTATATCAGGAAATTAATCTACAGATACAGAATGGAGATAATGGGACAAAAATAATGTAAAGGGGAATGTATGCATTACATACAGGACAGGTTAACATTGCTAGAATAGCCTGTGGATGGCCACCCATTACTGCACCCTGTTTGCTGACAAACAGGTGGGACTCATGCAGTAGGATCTAAACAGCAAATTATTCTCATCTCCTCCTCATTCTGCAATAGTTGTTCAGTGGAGCAGTCCCCGTAGAAAATAAAAAGTCAGTGTTCACTTTTCATGGAAATGGTAGACTATTGAGCCCAATGTATTAATCAATATTTCAATACTGATTCAAAGATGAGACCCTTCTCAACAGCAAAGGAAGGGACATATTCCCCAACATAAAGCAAGTCTCCAGAATCCTCCAGTTGTTTATTAATGTGAAATTCTAGACTTAATATGCATCTGCCCCTAGCATAAAAGGAGTTGTTTTGACTCTAGGAGGTTTTGGCTTTTCTTGCTTGCTTTTCACATAAAATCCCTTACAAGTTCCATACATTGAAGAATAGAGATTATTGATTCTGGCCCCAGGAAGTTTAGTCTACATGTAACAGCAGGAAAGCAGTGTGAATGCCAGGTAGTTTCCTCAGGCAACACTTGAGAGTCCAGGGAAGGACTTTCTTCTTGATGTAGAAACAATAATCATTTTGACTGAAGTGCTGGATATTCTTGGGAGTGTCCAGTTCTGACTAATAAGACAAACAGAAATACAATGAAACCCAAGTTGGATTCTAGAATATCCGCCTATAAATACAAAAAGGAATTTTGACTTTGGTCAAATGGGGATACCCGGTGGGCGTCCTCCTGGCTGTGGTGGAGGTTTGCAGTGATCCCTTCCTTAGAAAGATTAAAGGGAAATTTGGGAAAGTAATCTGTGCCCCCTTCCCTCAGCAATTCTCTGTGAAGAGAGAGGGGCAGAGGTGAAGGCAGGAGAGGCTGGCCTGTGGGTGTTGGCATGAAGCTGTCGCTTTCTTTATTTCTTTAATTAAGTACTTTTAACTCCTTCTAAAGAAAGAAAGGCTCAAAGAAGAAGACAATAAATAGTTTGTAATGTTTCCACTTGATTGAAACTGGTTTCTATTCTTGTTAACAAAATTTAAAGAGTAATGTATCTCAAAAGTTAAACATAGAATGACCATATGACCCAGCAATTCTGGTCCTATGTATATACTTCAAATAACTGAAAACAGATATTCATAAAAAAATTGCACACACATGTTCATAGCAGCATTATTTACAATAGCCCAAAGTGGAAAAACTCAAATGTCCATCAAGTGATGAGTGGATGGATAAAAGGTGGTACATTCAGAAAAGGGAGTATTATTCACCCATAAGAAGGAATGAAGAACTGATCTATACCACTGCATGGATAATTTCAAAAACATTTATGTTAAGTGGAAAGAGCCAGTTGCAAGGATAAGGTCAGTGTGTAGAGACATAAGGCAGATTAGTGGTTGCCAGGGGCTGATGTGAATTTGCCTTCAATTTTATTTTATTTTATTTATTTATTTTTCAATTCTACTTCAATTTTAAAATGTAATCTAAGATTAGGGCATATGAAGCATACAGAATTATGCAAAATTAAAAATGAAAGCCTCCCCCGTTCCCTAACCCCAGCCAAGTTGCTCTTTCCAGGGATGACCACTGCCAAGTGTTGCTTTTATTCTTTGAGCTGGGGTGGCAGGAAGGATTACGCTCACCCACCTCCATACCTGCCCATTTTAGAACATCAGGCAGAGCATGTTAGTTTCACTGATTTTCTTTGTCATGATTTGGAGATTGACACAAAGCTGCAGTGGAGATTCCAAATGTGTGTGCTCGTGACCTTTGCAGGTATATCTGTAGGACACATGTCTTGCTGAAGTTGCTGGGTCAAAGCGTATGTGCATCTCACATGCTGATGTCACCAAGTATTCTTCAGAAAAGTTGCATCAGTTTATATGTTACGGCATCATATGTAAGAGTGCCCATTTCCCTGTGTCCCTGCCCGTGCGAGATATGGTGAATCTTTTAAAATTTGTGTTCATCTGATGGTAAAAAGGTGAACCTTGTGGCTTGATTTGCACATATTTAGTGATGGCTTATGTCTTACAACTTTCCTTGTACATACCGAGCATCAACTTTTGTCTTAGTAAATTGCCTATTTCTGTCCTTAGCAAATATTTAATTAGTATTATCTATTTCTTGTTGCTTTATAAGCACTTAGTAAATGAAGGAAACTTATCTTTTGTCTGTTATTCATGTTAGAAATATGGGTAGACTTTCAGCTTTTGATCCTACAGAGGTATTTGTAATTTTATATTTATTTTTCTTTGTAACTAACGGTTGTTCTAGATTATGAATTAATGTACTCATGTTTCCTGTACTGTACTGCCCAGTAGAGTAGCTACTAGCCACATGTAATTACCAGTAAATAACATGTAAAATTCTGTTTTCATCTACACTTCGTCTCGTTACCAGACCTCACACATGGTTACTTTGGGCCAGTGGTTATAAAAAGTGTTTTCATCACTACAGAGAACTTCATTGGACAGCCTTATTCTAAATTATTTGTGATTTTCTCCTTTCACGTCTCTCTCCATGTTGAAATAATCTGGGTGTAAAGAATGAGGTAGGGATCCTTCCCCCCTCTTCTCTAAGCAGCTTGCACAGTGCCGTTCTTTGGCTAATAATCCTGTCTCATGCTGATTGAAAGGTCCTGTTCAGCATAAATGAAATTCTCATCTTTCTTAATGCCCAAGACTAGACTCTATTCTGATCTACTGGTGGGTGTTTGCATTTCTTCTTTGCATATGTAAATATTGTTAATTCACTGTGTGCTCTTAGATTTGGTAGAGATACTCTTTCCTTGTTCTTCATTTTCCCAAATGTTCTGGTTTTCTTTGCCAGATAATTTTAATACCATTTCTCACAAGTTTCTTCTCCCAAAAGTCTGTTGATATTTTCTTAGAATTTTATAGTCTTAGCTCTTATGTGTAGGTTCCACTTTGAGTGTATTTGTCATGTGGTATAAGGTAAGTTTTTGGTCTATTTTAAAAATTGGGTTATTCATCTTTTTATCATAAAATTTTAAATTCATTTATTTTTTAATTGTAAGAGTCACAGACAATTCTGCATAAGAGATACTGGCACAGGGTATTAAATAAGATCTAGAAAATGAGGAAGTGCTGTCTACTAAGTTCCACCACAGAAAAGGTTAGGCTATTTGTTACTAATTGTTAAAATGATTTAAAATGAGTCAGAAAATATTCACATATAGTTAGTTTCATAGACATTTCCATAAGCACATATAATTCCATGTAGATCTATATTCATAGCTACCATCCCCACCGTCCCTGTTGAAAGTACCATTGGTTCCTGAACCCTGAACTCTGTGTTTTGAAATCTTACTCATTTATATATGCTAGTCTTCCCCTTCAGTTGGTGAGTTCCTTGGGGCAGAGACTGTCTTTCTGATTTTGGCATCCTCAGGGCCTGGCCTGATGCCAGGCAGAAATAAGATACTGAAAAATTATTTATTGAGATGAGTTTATACAAGATTTCTGTTCAGTGCTACTCATATCATTACCTAGGAAAGTAATTGGCAGGTTTTGTATTCCATCTAATATTCAGGGTTCGGAATCACCTATAGTGCCTGCTTTTATTGCAATTCAATTCTTTTTTGTTGGGTGACTATCTCTTGCTTGTCTAATCCCATCCTAAATGCTGCCAATGTTTCCTTTCCTTAGAAGACTAATAATTAATTTCTTTTGCTTTGCCAATCTCTTAAGATACGTGGTTAACAAGTATCTAATCCAGGTGAGCATCTTGCCTCTTCTCTTTCTGCCTTCTAGGATGGCAGTGCTCCCTATGGGGCCCGGTATGTGGGCTCTATGGTGGCTGATGTACACCGTACCCTGGTCTATGGAGGAGTCTTCCTGTACCCAGCGAACCAGAAAAGTCCGAAGGGCAAGGTAATTCTTTTTCGTCCACAGGCTGTATCCGTCAGTAAGCCAGCTGGAGTACCCTTTCTCTTCATGCCTGCTTTTTGGCTACTGCTCTGACCTCTTCACAGCAGTTTGTGAGTGGGTAGGTGGAAGAAAAATGAGCTATATTTCTCATTAATAAATTTTGAGGCTGTAGTAGAGGCTGAAGTTGTTATTGGCAATTTTCACTACCCTTCACTTTCCTTGGCCTCATGCCCATCATTCACCATGTGTCACCTGTGGTCATCTACCACCTTCTACATGCTGTGCTTGTAGCTTCAGCACCACCTGATTCTGGATTATAGACCATTTGAGAATCTAACATAAGGTATGGATCCACTTCCCAGGGGAAAGAAATGCACATAAACAGATATATTACATATGTTTTTAGGGGGTTCACAGATGACTTGAAGTCTACCCATGAATCCTCTGGAGAGTTCCCAAACTCCAGAATAAGAACTTTTGGTCAGAACTTATTCAATACTTCTGGGAAGGTAGTTCCTGGAAGGTCTTATTGCAACTTTATGACCCAAACCCCAAAATACTTATATTATCAGATGGGAATCTTATGACCCAAATGCATTTATCTTGAATAGACCCTCCCATGGAAACATGTCTGATTTTTTCACCAATCACAGAGATCATTAAGTAAAAAAATCAAAACAAAGATCTAATACACTCTCACATATACCAACAACTGGCCACATGTATATTTGTCTTCCAGGATGTGCAATTTGAATTACTGGAATGACAGTTTCAAAGCCATGATAAGAAATCTAAGAGCACATGAGACCAGAGGGAATATTTTTAATATGCAGATTGGTGTATTAGGAGTTTCTCTTCATGTGAATGTTTAGCTCAGGTATATCATAACCTTTATTTTTTTTTAATTTTTTAAAATTTTTATTTATTTATGATAGTCACAGAGAGAGAGAGAGGCAGAGACACAGGCAGAGGGAGAAGCAGGCTCCATGTACCGGGAGCCCGATGTGGGATTCAATCCCGGGTCTCCAGGATCGCGCCCTGGGCCAAAGGCAGGCGCTAAACCACTGCGCCACCCAGGGTTCCCTATCATAACCTTTAGAAGTAAGAGTTACAGACAATTCTGCATAAAAGATACTGGCACAGGGTATTAAATAAGATTTAGAAAATGAGGGAGTGCTGTCTACTAAGTTCCAACATAGAAAAGGTTAGGCTATTTGTTACTAATTGTTAAAATGATTTAAAATGAGTCAGAAAATATGCACATATAGTTACATGGACATTTCCATAAGCACATATAATTCCATGTAGATCTATATTCATAGCTACCATCCCCACCATCCCTGTTGAAAGTACCATTGGTTCCTGAACTCTGTGTTTTAGCTTTCCTGGTATCTGTGTGGGCATTGCTGTGTTTTTTGTTTTAATATTTTATTTATTTATTCATGAGAGACACACACACAGAGAGAGAGAGAGAGAGGCAGAAACACAGGCAAAGGGAGAAGGAGGCTCCCTGCAGGAGCTCGATGTGGGACTCAGTCCTGGGACTCCAGGATCACACCCTGAGCCAAAGGCAGATGCTCAACCGCTGAGCCACCCAGGCATCCTTGCTGTGTGTTTTTGGGGTGGGGTGATTGTGTATGCCTTTTCTCCTGTGTGTGCTTGTCTCTGTTTATCTGTTTAGATTTAGTTGCAGAAAAAAGTAGATCACGTGGGCTGCAGGCCAAAGTAACATGACATGAAGACCTGCATTTTGTGTTTTAAGATGAATTTACTACAAGAACAACTTTAGGTGAAGGGCAACCTTGGCTCAAAGACAAATTTTATGTGAGGATGCTGTACTTTTTTTCTTAAGTATCTGAATCAAAATGGTACAAACAAAGGCTACTTGGTGACAATCGGAGGCTTTATTGTCAAACATCCCAAATCCCCTATCCTCAAGTGCCCAGAGCAAGGAAAAGGAGAGGAAAGAGTGGAGTGCTACAAGCTGTTAGGTAGCTGTGCAGGACCAATTGGCCTCCAGTGTCCCTCCTGTGGATGATCAGGGACAAAACTCGCAGATCCAATTGTGTCCACACCCAGTGGGGCTTCTTTGCACTCGCCAGGATACCCATTACTCCAAGAGCTGGAGGTCTAGAGTAAGGGTAGTGTATGCTGTTTTACCAAAATGGCAGTAAATGGCCCCCTGGAGTCTTGACTTACTTTCTCCTGAATACCTGGCTCTCCAACCTAGACCAGAGACATTCTGCTTCCCACCATGAAATAACAATAATTCAAAAATCAGCAAGATTTGACTGCTTCTCAAAGTAGTTTCCAATGATCTTCAGAATGGATTTGAAGCAAAGAAAAAAAGGCCGCAGAGAGCTGGCTTCACCATTTTGTAAGCCGATTACAGAAAGGAGCTTGTTTTCTTTTCAATACAGGTTTTGCACAGCTTTTGCAGCTTTTGGGGCAGGAAGGAGAAGATAGTATGATATTGAGTTAGAACGTGCAGCTAGACTGTCACTCTGAATCTGATGTGATATATGTGGGTGTCTGGTGGTGGGGTGGGGGTGGTGAGGAGGGAATGACAACACAGAGAAAGAGACCTAAAAAAGCCTTTGGGTCTAGCCCATTTCAATTCAATTCCCCAAGGACTTACTGGGTACAGGGCAGGCACCTGCTAGTTCCTATGGTACCTCTTAGAAAAGGCAGTCTTTCCTCAGGATAGGCTCGGCCCTGTGTCCACGGGCCCAATGTAGCAAGCAGGGCACAGGCTAACGTGACCCTCCACACCCTGCCCATTTCTGCCTTCCACTGGGAGGCCATGGGCGAGGGACACAGGAGCCTTGTCTCCTGCATCAGACAGTACTGAGAAGGGAGGTGCCATAGTGATCTGCCAAGACAGACTCTGTCCCTGCCCTCAAGGGTGAGCATGTAAGGAGGAAGGCAGATATGAAACCGACCTCAGTGTGACAAATGCATGCAGAAGGACGTGCAGGATGCCGTGGGAGTGCAAGAAGTAGACGTTAACTCAGTCTCAGTGGCCACGAGAAAAGGCCATTTCAACCCCAACAAACTACCTAGTCACGTTGACACTTGAGGTGTGGGATTCCTCCACATGATCCTGGATGGGAAGTTATCCTAAGAGGCTACCCCGTACTCTCCAGGTGACCTTCCATCCCATCCAAGCTGGACTTCCTCCTAGCCCTAAGGCCTCACATACAGAGGCTCCTGACCAGGCCTCAGAGTCAGTTTGCCTCACTGCTGAGCCAACAGCAAACAAGTATCTGGATACCATACTCTCAGGGGGAGGAGGCAGGTCTCTTGTAAACACAGAGGTCACAAGACAGTAGATACTAACCATTGGTGCCCCAAAGACATGGCGATGAACATCATCTGATGCACCTGGGCTTCTGGGGGGTCCTGACCTCTGGAAACTCAATCTGCTGGGGTGTCCGTTGCATTTGGGCTAACAAACCAGAAGTTCAGCAGCTGCAATTCCCTGTTGAGCTTTAAAAGGGGCATGGCTTGGGATATCTGGCAACTTGCAGAGCTTGTCCACCTGACTCTGTTTCTCCCACAGCTCCGGCTCCTGTATGAGTGCAATCCTGTGGCCTATATCATAGAGCAGGCTGGAGGCCTGGCGACCACAGGCACTCAGCCCGTGCTGGATGTGAAGCCAGAGACCATTCACCAACGAGTCCCCCTCATTCTGGGGTCCCCGGATGATGTGCAGGAATACCTCACCTGTGTACAGAAAAGCCAGGCAGGCAGGTAGTGGGTTTGACCCTGAAAACTGCCTTGTCTTTGTCTTGTCCTTTTTATTAAGGGCCCTGAGTGAACAATAGTTATAAACAGTGGTGATGGGTAACAAAAGGCAAAGCTCTTAAATCACACCGAGAAGATCACAGCAAAGTGCTCCTCACAGCTCTTGAAGCCAGAGGCAATTCTGTACTGGGTATGAAGGGCTCAAAATAAAAACCCACATGTGGAAAGAACAACTTTGATCTGTCTTCTCTCGTGAACAGCAGCTAATAGGGTTACAGTACCAAGTGTGTCGGCCAGGGAATCGGCCACCACAGACATGTGGGCGAAAGTTTAGAGATCACTTAAGAATTTGTTTTGGTTCTTTTAAAATTTGAACCTAGTGGTTCCAAGACAGTGGAGTAGCAAGCAGGGGGCACCTTGAACTTGCTTTGTTCTTCCAGTACAACCGGACCAACCTTCACCTGCTTTGAAAAATTAGGAACAAGATGGGAAGAGTGCAGAAACATTCTGCATGTTTGGAGCAAGTGATTCTGGCAGAAGCAAAGTTCGGAGCCCTGAACTGGGGGGTTGGGAAGCCGCGAGGCCCGAAAGGGAGGAGGTCTGGTTCTCGGAGCCAAGTCAGGAAGAGGGAGAAAGTCGGCATCGGTGGCGAGCGGATCCCTGGGTTTTGCTCAGGGAAAGACCGCTCCCTTTTCTGGAGGGCCTTGAGCAGCGCGCTTGTCCTCTGCAGACGGAGGGCCCGCCGGGGAGCCGCGGAGGCGAGGCGCGCGGCCGGGTCGGAGGGGGGCGCCAGGCCTCGGCGGGCGTGCAGCTGTGCGCGGGCGCCGCGGGCACTGGGCTGGGCCTGGCTGGGCCTGGCTGGGCCTGGCTGGGCCTGGCGGGGCGCGGGCCGGGGCTGTGCTGCGCGGCGGCCAGGGCGGCTTGTCGGCCGCCACGAGCGGCCAGCCTGCTTCCAACACAGAGGCGCTAGGGGACCGAGTCCAATGCACACGGTGGCCGCGGGCTCCAGCTCTTCGCGAGCGTCACTGTCAGCCTCGGCGCAGGTGCCTGTGAAGGCTTCTCAGGTGCGGCGGCTGCGGGCGGCCCGAGCCTTCCCGCCAGGGCCGCGGTGGGCGCACGCGCCTTCCCGGGCGGGCCTCGGCTCGGAGCTCTGAATCCCAGCTCCCTCCCGGCCGGAATTGGAATTCAGGAGGCCGGTGGCTCTGGGGATGGGATGACCCCGACACAGACAGGCTGGGGCAGGGAAGTGACGAGGTCCTGGGCCGCAGGAGGTTGCGCACTTTTCTGGGAGGAGCGCAGGGCAGCAGCTGCCGGGACTTCTGCCTCCCCCGGGGACGAAGGGACAAGGTGACGCCCAATTCCATCTCCTCCAGCACCACCGGCCACCAGCACAGTCACACGGTGCCTCCAGCGGAGGCTGGAATCCTCTGCCCGCGGTCCCGCCCCCTGACCTGCAGGTGTGTCCTTCCGAGGGCAAGTCAGCTTGTGAACCCCCTCAGAAGACAAACAACCCCAACATATACCAAGTCTGCTGATTAAAGAAAGCTCCAGAACATGAGCTTCCGGCTTAACTTCACAAGCTACTAAAAGCATATCTACTTAAAGGACCAAACACTTCCCACTACAAACAAGGAGGAAGGACCAGCCCGAAAGAGCAGCCAAAACACAACCACAGAGTATATAAAGCATGCACCAGAGTCACTTCCTAAGGTTATTGTTGTTGTTGATTTTATTATTGCTGTTTTTGCTGTTTTTTCTTTCTCTTTCTTTCCTTTTTTTTTTTTTTTAAAGATTTTATTTACTTACTCATGAGAGACACACACAGAGAGGGAGAGACACAGGCAGAGGGAGAAACAGGCCCCCTGTGGGGAGCCTGATGCAGGACTCCATCCTCAGACCTAGGGATCACGGACGTGAGCCAAAGGCAGACACTCAACCACTGAGCCACCCATGCGCCCCTCTTTCTCTTTCTTTCCTTTTTGGACAAAATGACGAGAAGGAGAAATTCACAACCAAAGAAAGAACCAGAGGTAATACTCTCTGCCATAGATTTAATTTATATAGATATAAGTAAGATGCCAGAGCTAGAATTTAAAATAACGATTACAAAGATAATCACCCCGGTTGAGAAAAGCATAAAAGACACTAGAGAATCTTAGAAATAAAAGAACTAAAACCTAAACAGGCTGAAGTTAAAAATGTCATTACTGAGATGCAGTAAAAAAAAATGGAGGCTCTAACTGCTAGGGTAAGCGAGGCAGAAGAGAGAGTCAGTGATACAGAAGATAAAATGATGGAAAGTAAGGAAGCTGAGAAAAAGAGAAAAACAACTACTGGATGCTGAGGGGGGACTTTGAAAGATGAGTGATAGCATAAAGTGCAATAATATTTGAATATCCTGGAAGATCAAAAAAGACAAGCAGAAGGCCTATTAGAACAAATTATAGCTGAGAACTTCCCTAATCTGGGAAAGGAAATAAACACCCAAGTTCAGGAGGCACAGAGAGCCACCCCACCCTCCCCTAAAATCAATAAAAATAGATCAACAGCCAGACTATAATAATGAAGCTTGCAAATTTCAGAGATAAAGAGAAAATCTTGCAAGCAGTTTCAGACAAGAGCTCTTTAACCCACAAGGGTGGAAACATTAGACTGGCAGAAGACCTCTCCACAGAGACCTGGCAGGCCAGAGAGGACTGGCATGATATATTCACGGTGCTAAGTGAGATATATGATGCAGCCAAGAATACTTAAACCAGTAAGGTTGTCATTCAAAATAGAAGGAGAGATAGAAAAGCTCCCAAGACAAACAGAAACTAAAATAATTTGTAATCATTAAACCAGCCCTGCAAGAAATATTAAAGGGGATCCTGTGAGTGAAGAGAGAGCCCAAAAGCAGCATAGACCAGAAGGGAACAGAGACGATATACAGAAACAAGGACTTTACAGGTAATACAATGGCACATAATTCATGTCTTTCAATAGTTACTCTAAATATAAATGTGTTAAATGCTCCAATCAAAAGATACAGAGTATCAGATTGGATAAAAAAAGCAAGACCAGATTGGATAAAAAAAGCAAGACCTACCTATATGCTTTTTACAAGAGATTCATTTTAGACCCAAAGATTCTCCCAAAGAGGGGATGGAGAACCATTTATCATGCTAATGGTCATCAGAAGAAAACTGGGGTAGCAGTCCTTAGAGCAGACAAATCAGATTTTAAACCAAAAACTGTATAAGAGATGAGGAAGGACACTATGTCACACTTAAAGGGTTCTATCCAACAAGAAGATCTAAGAATTGTAAATATTTATGCCCCTAACTTGGGAGCAGCCAATTATATAAACCAATGAATAACAAAATTAAAGAAACACATTGATAATGCTACAATTATACTAGGGGACTTTAACACCCCCCTCACAGCAATGGGCAGATCACCTAAGCTGAAAATCAAGAAGGAAACAAAAACTTTGAATGACACATTGGACCAGATGGACTTCACAGATATATTCAGAGCATTCCATCCTAAAGCAACAGAATACCCATTCTTCTTGGTATAGAAGATATATAATATTCTCTAGAATAGATCACATACTGGGTTGGTCACAAATCAGATCTCAACCAGTACCAAAAGACTAGGATTATTCCCTGAATATTTTCAGGGAATGCTTTGCTTTTTTCATTTCTGATGCTTTGATACTGGAACTCAGTCACAGGATGAAATTTGAAAGGAACTCAAATACTTGGAGGTTAAAGAGCAACCTACTAAAAAATGAATGGGTCAACTAGGAAATTAAAGAACTTAAAAAAATCATGGAAGCAAATGAAATGAAAACACAATAGTTAAGAACCTTTGAGATGCAGCAAAAGTGGTCCTAAGAGGGAAGTATATAGTAATATAGTTCTTTCTCAAGAAACAAGAGAAGTCTCAACTACACAGACTAACCTTACACCTAAAGGAGCTGGAAAAAGAACAGCCAATAAAACTTAAACCCAGCAGGAAGAGAAATAATAAAGATTAGAGCAGAAATCAGTGAAATAGAAACAAAAAGAAGAGTAGAACAGATCAATGAAACTAGGAGTTGGTGCATTGAAAGAATTAATAAGATGAATAAACCCCTAGTCAGACTTCTAAGAAACAACAGAGAAAAGACCTAAATAAATAAAATCATGAATGAAAGAAGAGAGATCACAATCAGCACCAAAGAAATACAAATAATTTTAAGAACATAGTATGAGTGACCATATGCCACCAAATTAGGCAATCTGGAAGAAATGGATGCATTCCTAGAAACATATAAACTACCAAACCTGAAATTGGAAGAAATAGAAAACCTGACTAGACCCACAACTAGCAAGGAAATTGAAGCAATAACAAAAAAATCTCCCAAAAATCAAGATTCCAGGTTCTGATGGCTTCCTAGAGGAATTCACCAAACATCTAAAAAAGAATTAATACCTATTCTTCTGAAGCTGTTTCAAAAAATAGAAATGGAAGGAAAACTTCCAAGCTCTGTGAGGTCAGCATTATCTTGATCCCCAAACAAGATAAAGACCCCACCAAAAAGAATTACAGACCAATATCCCTGATGAACATGGATGCCAAAATTCTCACCAAGATACTAGTGAATAGGATCCAACAGTATATTAAGAGGATTATTCACCATGATCAAGTGGGATTTATTCCTGGGCTGCAAGGGTGGTTCAACATCTGCAAATCACTCAGTGTGATATGCCACATTAATAAAAGAAAGGACAAGAACCAAATGATCCTCTCAACTGATACAGAAAAAAAGCATTTGACAAAATACAGCATCCTTTCTTGATTAAAACTCTCCACAGTGTAGGGGTAGAGGGAACATATCTCAGTATCTTAAAAGTCATCTATGAAAAGCCCACAGCAATTATCATTCTCAATGGGGAAGAACTGAGAGTTTTTCCCCTAAGGTCAGGAACACGACAGGGATGCCCACTCTCACCACTGCTATTCAACATAGTACTAGAAGTCCTAGCCTCAGCAATCAGACAGGAAAAAGAAATAAAAGGCATCTGAATTGGCAAAGAAGTCAAACTCCTGCTTTTTGCAGATGACATACTTTATGTGGAAAACCCAAAAGACTCCATCCAAAAATTCCTAGATCTCATACAGGAATTCAGCAAAGTGGCAGGATATAAAATCAATGTACAGAAATCAGTTGCATTTCTATACACTAATGATGAGATTGGAGAAA